GTCAAAAATCGTTTATTTCAATTAGAACTTTACAGGCACTTTTGTCGTTGCTAAGTGTAGATTATTGTCTAAATTATTGTTACTTTATATCACTACATACTATAAAACAAAGTTGCTTTCTCTGTCCCTTTACTCTTGTGTACACTTAAATCTTTAAAACAATGTTAGTAGTGTAGTGTAGTGGTGTAAAGTAGTGTAGTTAAAACCTATATTTACACTACTTTACACCACTATGAAAAGTACTAATAAAATTGAGCAGATAAGCACTAATATAACATCTATAAAATTGAGCAGAAATTTAGTATCAGAAAGAACAGACGCCAGGATGGGTCGCTAGTTTTATACATATACTACTGTGTATCCCTTTTGAACTTCAAATGCATGATGACTATTACCATATTTTCTTGTTTAAGTGTTAAGCGGAAACAATCATTAGTAACTACCTAGTTCTACTTAATAGGTAAATTTCTAATCAGTAATTGAGTACTAAAATGCACATTTCTTTAAATTAATCACCTATATTTAATTAACATACAGACAATAGATTTTTAGTATGTTAATGACAGTCTATTTAAAATGTTTTTTTGGAATAGGAAGAAAGCAATGTAAGTATATAATTGTAAATTTAGAATTTGTCATTAATAGACTGTCATAATGTCCATTCATTTACACATCATTAATGTCCATGTCAATAGAAAGGGCTGCAAATAAAAAATAACATATGCATACTAAATATCATTTTAAAATTATCTATCCAGGCCCCACTCTTCCTTAGAAGTCTTTAACTACGACCTCAGTGGCAAAATCTCCAAAACATTTGTATCTGATTTTCCTATTGTCTTTATTTTCGGCCCTCACCATGGAAAAGCTTGCAAATGCACTCACGATCTCACGTAAAAATAAGCCTTTAACCAAAGGATGATAAAAATGCAGTTAATTGATTGTGCACTGTAAACTCATTTGTGCTTACCCCTTTTAAGGAATAACAGATGTCATGTTGTGATAATTTTAACTCCATTACTACTAGGTCACAAGGTCAAATCTATTTTAATCGCGTGTCATGTAAATTGATGCTTTAATTTATGTATTTATGTAAACTAAAATATGTACATATGAAGTACTCAATGAACCAATTTGTGATTCATCATTTTCTATCTTCTTATCTACTGTTAGATAGTAAGTTTATAAAAAGGTGCCCACTACCACCAACCTATAAGCACCCACTGCTGAGCAAAGGCCTCTTCTAAAACAGAAAACAGTGCCTAGTTAGTAGTAATTGTAATTTAAAATTAGGGTTTCACAAGGGTGTATTTTAGGGCCAACTCTCAAATCTCAAAAAATATTTCAAAGTTCAAAAATTATTCGGGAACAGTTTTCAAGACGTAGACGGTAGTTTTTTCACTGGGTTCATAAATTATATTTATAATTACTTAATCCAAAATCTGGTCCTAACAAAGTTTTTGACAGAACTGTATAAGACAACATACCTATTATAGCTAATGCTATTCTGAGTCTAAAGAAAATTTCAGTCCTAAGTCAATCTTAAGTCTTAAAATAGCCCCGTCATAATACCTAAGGCTGCTCACACCTGCCCCCAGCACGTGGTTGAACGTGATTTGACACGTTGAACGCAATTGCATTAGTGCAATCCCATCTGTAGCATGTGGCGTGGTCGCGTGTTCTCTGTTATGATACTTATGGATCGATTGGTCAAACTCAAAACTGTTTAACGTTAGCACTTCCGTGATTATATTTAAAAAGTTTTTAATGGGTTTACACGATAGTCGTAGGTAAATTAGATTACGTATGAGAACGTCTCGAGTTTTATTTGGAATTTTATTCTTTCATTTGAATTTGATATTAGGCCGAGTGAATTTAACCAATCACAATGGCAAAATTATCGATGAAGAAGATATTGTCATATGTGGTTCCAAACCTACTTTCTTCATACATTTTTCCAAATCACCAAAAGTTTGGGCTTTTAGGACTAGCCCCATTTTATAATTCCGTAAGTCATCCACATGCTATATGAGATCGTATGACAAATTAGCACTACCTTTAACCCTTGATAAGAGACTTCACTATATAGTATTTTTACAATGTTATATAGCCTCATCACAAATGATTAATGATATCTGCCCTTTATAAGTAATTTATGTAAGAAATGACCTAAAAAGGAATAGATTACTACGGCGCTATAAATAAATTCTTGATTATGATTTTGTCTCTCTCTCTTTCTATGACCTATATCTTTATGGGTGCAACTTTAAGTTTTGAATTTATATTTTCTTCGAAAACCTTTTTAGCATCTTTTTCTGCTTCTGGTTTTGTTTTAATGCAAAAGATTTTCCTCGTTCCACTTCAAACAAAGAATTGAATTAATCGTAGTACTTGTTTTACTTTCCTATAATTATGCAATACGTATTAAATACGGCTCTATCGCAGTAACTCGTCTGGAGAATACGGAAAATTCCGCTACCTATACATTTTAAATTTGCCAGCCAGTTTGGCTTGGCAACAGCTGTATCGGTTTCCGCAATTCTACATACATTCGTTTATAGCGGGACTTTGTTTCCATTCTAGACAAAAATAAAATTTGACTTGTATTTGAACGCATTTTTAAAATACGATGTTGAGGTCTATAGAATAATCACTTTTAATTATTATAGTTATGGATTTACATGAAACACACAATGGTCGATTGATACCTAAATGATCTCTTTCTTTCTCTATACAAATAACATCAATAACCGGTCTTGTTGTGATCTATCATCATTTGGATTTAAGCCAAAATAATATTTAGCATCCCAAGATCCGTTTGTGTGATTCATCAGGAAATACCATTCACTCATTTCCTGAATCATTAAATGGCGCCAAACGCATAATATTCACTAGTTCCTTTACCTAAACATCTGAAAGCCCTGTTTTCTCATAACTATTAAGACTATGTACCTGATACTGATTTTTGTTAATGTCCATGCTTTTTTTGTGAGCGGAAAATCATCAAATTTCTTCTCTCGCACAGAGTGAGGCCTGAGACTCTGACAAAAAATCTCCCACTCCTTCTCCTGCTCTGGACCGAAACTGCAGTGCCTTATTGCGCTTGTCGTGCTACCCCGGCTTAAAAGGCGGGTTAGTGATCGAGATTAAGCAGGTGCAGGTTTATCACAGAGCTGGTTCTCTGGGTCTCTATAGGTTTAAGGTCGTTATAAGGGGTGGTAATAATTGTGTCGTGTCTCTTTATCTACAAAATATTGTCTTTCTTATTTCAAACTGTAATCAGTCTTAAAGGCTTACTTTATAGCATGTTCGGCTTTGCATTAAAAGTTCATCGCCAAGGTCGTCTGCCGGTTTTTGCCGTTTCAAAAGCTGTTGCCAAGCACGCTCCGAGTGAGAGGTGATCTAACGTGGTCCGTGCTGCCTTGTTTGAGTTCAACTGTCGAAGATTTTTTTATCCAATTTTGTGAAGTCTTTTGTTCATTGAATAAGGAAGTAATTATGTTGTCTCCCTCCCTCCTTTTCATCGATCGATCGTTGTCTCACTCTTTCAGATATTTGAACCTTTCTTTGTATTCCCTTAAATTTTAAAGTATTTCTTATTTTGCCAATTTATCTTCTTTCTTACAGACTTTGTCCTTTATACTATGGAACTGTATCGGTACATTCTTACGTATTTAAATATTTATTTTTTATCAGATAACCTAAGTATTAAATTTTGTATTATCAGGTCAATGATCTCATAGACATGTCGATTTTGTACATTAAGGATATATCTTGCTAAAATATAATTCACTAATTCATTGATATTTAAAATTTATACGTCACCGGATTCAGTTCTAAATTTGATTTATAAATTCTTTGACCGTTAACGTCATGTCTCTGTGACGCCACGTCACATTATACAGATTATCTTTTTATACTAGTGCGTTTTTAATGAATTAAAATAGATTCTTAGGTACGCATTTTCTTTCACAATTGTACTGATTACATAGGATTTCGTTTCAACGTAATATTCGCATATAATCCATAAACACATCACGATAAAGAGTTTCCGTAACAAAACGTTATGTAAGCTTAACAGTCTATTAAAAAACTAACACCGAACGTAACATGCCATAACCAAACCGTCAAAGTGACGTTTCGTGACGTCACTCACCGGCGATTTCCCGCCTTCTTCGCTTTCTGTCTGACGCATCGATTCGAACGTGGAATTCAAAACTAGTTGCCAACATATTATATGAATATATTGGGTTTATGGTGTACCTTCTATCGAAAGGACCTTATTTTCCTTAAAATCTTATTCTTAGTTATGTTATGTGAATTTTAGTCGGTGCAAAGCCATTTCTTTTCCGTTCTCGTCTTTGGACGTCATCAAAGTCGAAATATTTTATTTCAATTGGACCCTTACAGGCACTTTTGAAAGCCAAACAAAGCTTAAAGATAAAAACTGTCAGTTTGTCGGTCTGTCATCTAGTGAAGCTATGTGCTCGTTCCAAAGTGTAGATTCCAATGAAGAATGGGCATGAAACTCCATAGTTACTCTTTTTAAATCAATTTCACAAACAGATCATTCAGTCACACTCCGTTCTCAGTAGTTTTTTGCATATATTTGCTATCGGCGAAGTCATAGAAGCTATTCCATACAGATAGCGTACTGCCAAGGTCATTTCCTTACTCTTGACAAGAATTTAATATGCAAGGCTTCCTTCTTCCGCCATTAATACCAGTCTTAAGAATTTAGAAAGAGTTGACATTGTTACTATACTATAGACTTTATCTCTTAAGCAACAGGTTTTTAATTTCTTTGTAAACGCGCAAGAATTTGTACATGGAAACGTGTTCACAAGTATATAAGTCAAGCATGGTATTGGAGTCTGATTCAATTACATTTTGGCTTTTGAATTAATTAAGTGCTGTTTTAGATGGGCTTTCTGGTAAAAGTGGTAGGTTTTACATGATATTTGGATAAAGAAGTGTGGGAGCGCCATGCTTCGGCACGAATGCGTCGGCTCGACCTGCGTGATACCACGGCCTCACAGAAAACCGTCGTGAAACAATCACAACGTTGTGTTTCGCCGTGTGAGTGAGGTTACCAGAGGCCCAATCCAGCCCAGATCCACAATCCTCAAATCCCCTATACTTACTTAAATCCCTAATAACCCAAGAACTTAAGGCCAATGATACCGATCAGTAGGTCAAGGTTCCAAAATATTAAAATATGAATATATGATAATTTTTTCCGATATTGTCTTTCAAGAAACTCCATATGCATTGTTTTTCAACACAAATAAATGAATGAAATGCAATTTATAAGTATTGACGCGCCATTTAATGTGTTGATCGGTTGCGTGAGCGCATCGTTTTCGTTGTTTGAACGAGTCTAATTTAAAACTGTTTAGACGTCATCGCACAACTGGCGTTTATTTATATTCCTTTATTCTTGAAAGAGAATTGCTACAGTGGCCTGCACATACCTACAGGGTACTTGTTCCTGTAGCGAAATTAGTTTTATTTTGGTTCCCGGGACTAACATTTTCACCCTGTATTAATATTGTTAATAACAATTGGCTGTAAATATGTTTTTAAATTGGTCTGTCGAAATTACCAATGGCAGCAGTGATTCTGCAATTTTGCTTTCTGTTGATTATGAGTTCTATTAATTAGGTAATCGTATCCCATAAAACCTTCATAGGTAAATTGGCTATCCAACATAGAATTGGTCAGTTCGAAACAGTCGTTCCGGAGATTAGTGCGTTTAAACAAACTCTTTAGATTTAGAACCTGGTCAAACCTGGATTCTGTCATTATCATCATCATCTTCAGCCATATCTTTCATTCACTATAGACTATGAGATTCCTCCACATAAGAGTTCCCAGGTGCATATATGCGTCGGCGACCTCTCGCGTTCAGCCTTAGTCGAGGCCATGGTTCGTAGCGAGAAGAACTGGGAAGCCGTCTGCTCTTTCTGCGAAGCAGTGATGCTCGCAAAGGAGGAGGCGGAGCGTGTGAGGGCACTATCCGGGCACTCCGGGCGTCGGGGATCGAGAGATGATCTCCGGCCACCGTAAGCGCGGGTCTGCGGACGGCGAGTAAGGTAGCTCGCCGCCCGACCAAAACCAGACCCGAGCGTACGGCGCGTAGCGTTTCGCTCGCGCCTTGTAGAGCCAATGGACCACCACCGACGGGGCCCTATAGGGCTGATGTTCAGCCGGGGTTGCGGGGTAAGCGCAATGAGTCACCGCGGCCTCGGCCCAGAGCAGGAGAAGGAACGGGGGGGTTTTTAATCAGTAAGAGTCTGACACTCTCTCGCCTAACCCTGGGCGGGAGAAGTCATCTGATGATTTACCCCTGACAAAAAAGGTGCATATATGCGTTCTTCAAGTTTCCCCTGCCTAGTTTACAACTGCTGAACAGATCTATATGTGTCTGCATACTTAACACGTAATTTACAACAAGCTGACAGTGACAATAACGAAAATACTTCTGGCAGCTCTCCACTCTTTATCAGTGACGAGTACAACAAAATATCTAATAAACAGTATACTTTATTACTGTTACGATATTCTCAAAGGTGAAATATGTAGTTATTTTTGGTTGTAATTTGCAGAAATAACTTTCTTCCGATCTTTTGATAGCTGTATTGTTGATTATTTTTCTACTCTACCCATCTAAAAAATGGCGTGCGAGCGTTTGATGTTATTGTTAGTACCATTAAATTTTTCTATTTACTCGATTCCAGTATCACGTGATTTGGCTTTCACCGCCCAGAAAAAGAAAAAGACTATTTGGATATCCGATTCTGTATAATTTCTTGATGAAGGGTTTTTAGCTAAATACTATATAAACTTCCTTATATATATCATAATCGAAATCTTCAATAATTGCAATAAATAAATCAGTCTAAGAAGTTCGTTTGTTTCAAAAAAAATAATTAATATCGACGCAACCGTTTAGGAGGTCACTGGCACACAAACGTATAAGTTAGCTCATAGCACACAATGCACGAACGCCGGCGTTCGCTTGGGATTTTGGTGAATTAAATTAAATAACAGATGATAAATGTTATGTTTTCAAAGGATACAGCTACATTATGATGTGTTAAGTCTTTTAGTCCCCTCTGTGGGAAGGGTATTGTTAAATGTATCTTTATTTCCACTATCTAATGGCTTTCATGACCTTTGGATAACTCATTTATTTATAATACTTACTTATCAACAAGAGAATGTGCCTTATCTCATTGTATTAGTACTATTTTCCTTGTGAACACACCTGATGAATGTCTCAAACTTGGCTACTTGACTTATAGCAAAATAACTTATCTTTTCTGCTGTCAAAGTATTCGTCATCATATTTAGTCCACAAGAGATGCCTGTGTCACCTTTGATTTTCACATTTCCATTACCTACCAACTAAAACTGGGTCCAAATAAATCAATTTATACTATAAAAATGAATCGCAAAATGTATTAGTAAGTGCATAACTCAAAAACGTCTGGACCAATTTTGTAAATTATGTTGTTGTGTTTGTTAAAGTCAGGAGAAGGCTCTTAATCTTAAGAAAGAACATTATTAAAAAATATTTGGGAAATAGCAACAAGGAAATAATAACAAAGGAAAGTCAGCAGCGAGGTATTTGTTGGACCCGATGCCAACCAGGGACGGACCGCTAGTAGAAAATACAAAAGATTATTTATTCCCTGCTCCATTCACACATAAAAACTTTAGAACAGATTCTGAGTTTGGTCCCTACACTTTTATTGTCACATACAAACAAATATGTTTACTCTCAGAGCGTGTGCAACTAAAATAGTCCCGTATCTATTAAACGGAACGTGCTAGTCAACGTGCATTACGTATAATGGCGTCACACATTTTAGCGTACCATATCATTCAATATCAAGGTCCGCAAATAACCTAATTTGTACAGTTAACTGATACACTATAACTAAAACTTCGTCATCATTATCGTCATTACTTAGATTTCCACTTGCAAATTTAACGTTAATTTTTGTTATACTTAATCGGTTCATCTTCAGTATACTTCAAATAGTCTTAATCACTACATAGTATAAAACAAAGTCGCTTTCTCTGTCCCTATATTATTATCCTTATGTATGATTAAATCTTTGAAATTAAGCAACGGATTTTGATGCGCTTTTTTAAAAGATAGTCATTGAAGAGGAATGTTTATATGGATAATAACACTCATTAAATACTGGATAAATTTAGTGTTAGGATTAAAACCATCAACAGAACTTTTATAGACGAAATCCCAGTATTTCATTCGCAAACTAAAGTATAGCGTTGTGAATACCCATCTCCTTTCAACTATTGTTTCGTGTTTTCATGTCACCTATGACACCACTGACTCATCCCAATATTGATATTTGTCTCTCCAAATTCAATTCATCAAATGTCAATTACAAATTTAAATTGTTTTCTAATGACACATAAAAACAAACAGGTCTAATAGCGGCGTACAATGAGAATGTTTTCAAATTGTGCGTAGTTGACACACACGCGCAAAGTTAAACTAGGAACGGAGACGATACGTTTGCGCCAATAGCTAAAGATAGCAGGAGTCAATGAAACGGTATTACGACCTGCACACGAGTTGATAACACAGATTGATCTGACAATTTTATATCTGATGTAGACAGTTCAAATACTTTCAATTTGTTTAGTTATATATAATTCAATGATGACAATGACAATGCAGATGAACTGCAACTTAGGGCTGATTTTTCAATGTATCGATAAAAGTTTCGATCTGGGAAATAATTATGATGCTGTCTTGTCAGAATGTTTGCATAAGACAGTGATAGCAACAATTTTAGTCCTCAGAAAATAGAAAGAGATTGATAAGTTGTTGATGAGTACGTGAGTGAGTATGATGAATACGTTACGACTGCTAGCCAGCTACTAAGCAAAGTTTATAATAACAAAACAACTGCACGACACGTGATTAGCGTAATTTCTAAAATACTTGATCATCTTTTAGGGAAATGTTATCATGAAGTGGCCGCGAATTTACTAATGCAAATGGTTTATCGATGTATTTTCTCCTTGTGAATATAGGGTCTTTACCCTGATATAAACTTTAACATAAATTTATGAAAATACACGTGGAGTTGTAATCATTATAATCAATAAATTTTCTTCAACGCCATCGATAAGATTTGTATGCGTCTTGCGAGTCCGTCGAACATTTATCAATATTTTTGCTTTTTTATGTAGGTACTCTTAACACCTTAACCGATATTAGTCACAGTTTTAAAATTGATAATTTATAGGTTAGAAAAATAATTATAATATTTTGCATGAAAACTCAGTTATTTTGGTTTGTTTTCCTTTTGAAGGTCGCACCACAATGCGCAATGGATAGACGCCAAAATACTTACGTCCTATCTAAATACGCAAATTTATGAAAATAACGAGTTGTTTGCATATAAATTCCAATAAACAAAACCGAATTGTTAATGGCGATGTCACGTGAAAGTACATGCCTGTGTTAGATCGACCTATAGCATTATAATCCAAAGCTTAATCATAGAAAAAATTCTCAGACTATGACGTATAGGGATTGCCATTTGCTTTATTTGAAGTGGCAGTGTTTAGTCCGGTTGATCATCAGCTCTTGTACTCGTCTTTGTCATAAGCCAGGTGAGAAATTGTTGTTGTTGATCTTTATTAAGATTAAAGGAATGAAACGCAAAGACTATTTTCAAAATTAATATTTTAAGAGGCCGGACATTCTTGTAAACCCACATCCCAGACGTCAACCGTCTGAAAAATAAAAAACTGCGCAAAAATCTATTTCCAGAACACACCACCTTGAACCTTTTGGTTGACGCGGCGGCTAGCGAAATACCAAAGCCTATTATCGCTAGATAAGGAAGAAATGTTACAAAGAATCCTTGATTACGCAAGGCTTTATCATTGTCTTCAATCAAATTGTGAAGTGTGCGAACGATAAGGCCTGGCGCCCTGTAGTCAACGAAGATATTTAATGATAATGTGACTGCCAAATTATTTTTTTGTTTAGTTGTCCACTTGTTTGCTTTGTTCTTTGATTTGTCTATTAAGTTTTGCTACTATTCTGAATTCATATCTTTCCTTTTTTCTATTTCATTATTGGCCAATATTTATAATGTTAATGGTCTCTTCTGCTATTGTTTTTTTAGTTCCTCTTCCTAGTTACCTAACTAAGTTTATGCTGCATTATGCTATGTTGGCATAATTTTTATTTCTTTCTTTTGTTTGAAAGTAGTTTCTTGGTTGTTTCTTAATCATTCGCAGTGGTTTGCAATTCTTTTGTTTTACGTTCATTATCTTCCTCTGTTATATTTAAATCAATAGTAATTTTATCATTCAATAGTTTATCTTTTTCAGCTTCAAAAACCCCAACTAGGTCTGTCGTCGAGCCGGTATTAGTTTTATCATTACCGATAAAATATTACAAATGCCTTGGTGAGCTTGGCTAGCAGCATTTTTCTGTCATAATTTATTTACTTATTTATCTTTATTGTAATTAATTATGTATAACATTGTAATGTGAATGATTTTGGTGAAAGTCAACGTAATGTTAAGAATGACGTTGTTTCAATATTTCACAACATTGTCTATTTTATTTATTGAATTAAATAAATTGTATCCAAGTTTCTTTAACACGTTAAGCGCCATGGGGGTCACCGGTGACCTCCGTTAGCGGAGGATTTGCCTTCAACATTTTTCTGTCGGCAGCCAAAGGCTTATAATACTACGTCTTCAGTTAGTAACTGAACTACTTTATTAATCAAATTGTTTGTAAGATTAAAAATCTTTGAAATCAAAATTGCCCTAATGATCAATAATTTTACCTACATTACTGAGTTTTTTATTAAGTTTAAAATAAGTTTTAGCGGACTTTTCAGAAACTATCATTAATTTATTTTATGATACTTATAGGAAATTACTATTTATCTTTTTATCTAATTTTCAAGAAACAACTATCAACAAACAACGCCAAAACACACAAGGTTTCGTTCAAATTTCGTAGAAAACGATTTGATAATTCTAAAAAGTATTCTATTTCTCTAGTTGTGACTTATTATATTAATTTGGACATAAAACACTGCCAATGGCCTATTGGCACTAAATGTACGTAGTCATTTAGTAAGTGACTTTTTCGGTAAGTTTTGATCACTGTTCGCGATAATGTTCAGTCCATGGTCAGAGAATTATCACCTAGGTACGTTGAACTCTAAAATATTCCAACACGGAAATGTTATGTTCACTGTATCGGAATTACAATTGATTTTATAAGGAAGTTGTATTGTTTAAAATGATAGCCATCAGATTACAAGCACCACAGACGGGGCCCTATATGGGCTAATGTTCAGCCGGTATTGCGGAGCAAGCGCAATAAGGCACCGCGGCCTCAGCCCTGAGCAGGAGAAGGAACGCGGGGTTTTAAGTCAGTAAGAGTGATTCTCTTTCTCGCTTCACCCTAGGCGGAAGAAGCAATTGAATGATTATGGCCTCACAAAAAACTCATCAGATTACTGAACGAATTTCTTCTGCCTTCCTCAATGAAGCAAGGCTGGGTGGTTCATCGACCCCATCAATATACCGAGTCTACTATTGGAATATAGACCTTCTCGACATAAGATAACCTTATTTTATACCTTTTTCTGAATTTTTTTTATAAAGTTATTGAAAATAACAACTATATCACGTGAATTAAATGAGAAGAGCTCTGCTAGTTTCAAGACACAATGGGACTCATATTCATGAGCAGACTTTCAATAAATTCAGTACATTTTTCTCACGATAGTCGCTTTCCAAAATTATCTTCATTTATAATGTATTGGCAACACGTGTTTTTATAATATCAAGTACAAGTTCGGTCTATAAAGTTTTTGGTATACAGATGGCGCTAGGGCAGTTTTAAAGTCAAACGATAATCCAACAGACTGAATCTGACACAACATAAATTGTAATGAAGATCAATCAACTACGAAACTCAATAATGCTAGTGTTTGCTCGTATTTCTTAAACACGCATTGTCTGTATGACCCTTTGTTTCTGTTGAATCGGTTATTGGCATTTGTATTTCCGTTAGCCTGCTGGTTTGATTTAGAGCCAATCAACATCGGTAAAGGTGTTCATTGATTGGTTGTTTATTTAGATTTCGAATTTCGTCTCGTTGTGTCAAAACAATTTATCACAGTTAATCCGAAGACTAAAAGACGCATTGAATTTTTCAAAGCTAAACTCAGCAACAAATTGCCTTTGTTGTTGAATTATAAGAATTCTAACACTTTATATGATAAGTTTTTTAAAATGTACCTAACAGAGTTTAAGTCTACTTTTACAGATAAAACTATTCCAGCTAATAGCAATGTGTCTTTTGGTGATTGGGCAACCACTGGTATCTATAAGAGTAGAAATCGCCTCTATGAGCTCTATAATGAGCGGACATATATTAATACTGTTGAATTCAGTGAATATGTAAAAAACTATTCTAAATTATTTAAAAAAGTTTGCTCTATTGCAAAATCTCTATTCTTAAGCTCTAAGATAAAGAACAGTACCAATGTTATCAAAGACACTTGGAACATTATCAACAGTGAGGCAGGAAGGTCTAAAAAAAGAATTAGTCAACATAGTCTAGTAATTGATAATAAGTTAATAAAAGCGGATGTAGAAATTGCAACTGCTTTTGAACATTTCTTTTCCGACATTCCTGTATCCACTACAAAGTCACTGAATTCATCTCCCACTGTTGCAGAGTCTTTACTCAAAGAACATGTTGTAGCTTGCGATTCAGGGTTTTCCTTCAAACACATAGATAACAAAGACATTGTTAAAATCTTTAATACTTTGAATAACAAAAAGACTGCAGATCTATGGGGTAATTCTGTGTACATTACAAGCTCTGTAATAACTATTGTAGCACCTGTATTGGCTCAAATCTTTAATAACTGTATTGACTGTGGTGTGTTTCCTGATCTTATGAAATGTAGTAAAATAATTCCATTATTTAAATCAGGTAGTACTTCTGACCCCACTAACTTTAGACCTATTTCAGTACTACCTACGTTCAGTAAAATTTTTGAAAAAATCATTTTAGATCAAATGCAAAGATTTTTTAATAGAAATAAATTATTACATGCGAAGCAGTTCGGATTTACAAGGGGTCGTTCAACAACTGATGCCGGTGTTGAACTTCTTAATCATATTTACGACGCATGGGAGGACTCAAGCGACGCTTTGGGAATATTTTGTGATTTATCCAAGGCGTTCGATTGCGTGCTTCATGATACACTGATCAGGAAGCTTTCCCATTACGGATGATCACATAGTATGACATTTTTATTTTTTATTTGACATTTTTTTTTATTTATTTGTTGACATTTTTATTATTTTATATTATTGTTAGTGTAAGGACCGTGTGAGACTTGTCGTGCTTTTTTATCACCAGTCATCTGCGTTCTGACAGTTTGAGTACTTGCGCGACCCACCCAAATGTTCTTTTGATCGGTATTGTTCGTCGGACAACTCAACAGCACTAGCTATATGGTTGCAAACTGACACTTGCGTGCCTGTCTTCAGAACGGGTCCACTTAAACTGGTGTGGTTCTTTCCTCAAAAGACCACTACAGAATGAACTTGCACGGTTCTCTCACATTATGTTATTTTATATTGTCTGGACTTGAAAAGAGACTGACCTCTGAGTTTGTTTCGGCATTTCTTCTCAGAGTAGTCAGATAGGAAATGCCGGCTTCATCTAGTTTTTCACATATAATTTGACGTGTAAAAGTGCCGTTTTAAGGCCTATTTGCAAAAATAAATTCATTGTTTCATTGTTGTTTCTACTGCATTCTATTTTTAAATATTTTTTTGCTAAATCTTTAGATGGTCAAAATTAACACGAAAATGTTGGAAAAAATACCTTTATTTTGCTTATTTAAATACTAAACTCGACACGAAAGCGTTCTTATCCCCTGTTGCTAAGTCCTCCACGGCCCCTTTTTCTTAACACAATAATATTCCTAGAAAAATCTAAATTTGAAATCTAGAAACATAAAAAACGGCGTCAAAACCATATGATTCAAATCGGAAGCCCGCATAAATTGGACGAAATCCAAAGAATTTGGCGCTATTTCTGATCACTGGGCGCCATGTTTGGATGTCTATCGTTGTTTATACTTATATTGTAGGTTGTTTCGTTGTTGCAAAGGTCATTGATTACCCCAAGGTTCTGAAGTCGATACACCTAGGTCAGGGACTTCGTTGGCTCAGCATTTCAAAGACCACGGCTTCACAGAATACCGACACTAAAAACAGCGTTTTGTTTCGCCGTGTGAGTGAGGTTAGCGGTCCAATCCAACCACCCCAATCCTTGAATCCCAAAACCCTTATTCATATAGTACCGGCAACACATTTAGAAAAGGATAAAGATCTATAAAGAAACTACAAAAAATAAGAAATAGCATCATGTTAAAAAAGTTCTTAGCGACGAGTAGAATCTAGAAATAACTGACGTCTAGGGTCATACTTAGGACATGGACATAACCTCAAGACCTATGATATAGAATGAGATTAGGAATAGTTAAGAAGCTTTGATAGTAGATAACCTACATGACCTAGGCCTAGGTAACCTAGGTAAGATTAATGTGAACTTGATTAGATCCTATTTTTATCTACGTAGGTCAAGAAACATGTCTAACTAATACCTATTTAGTTAATGTCGATGATTCATAACCTTAACTAATTAAAACGTTAGCCCTTTTTAAAAAAAAGGTCTGGCTTACTTTTTTTATCAATTTCGTTAAAACTAGCTCAATTATGTCCACAAACTGCCCTTTTTTTTTTTTGTCAGGGGAAAATCATCCAATGACTTCTCCCGCCCAGGGTAAGGCGAGAGAGAGTGTCAGACTCTTACTGACTAAAAACCCCCCCCGTTCCTTCTCCTGCTCTGGGTCGAGGTCGCGGTGCCTCATTGCGCTTACCCCGCAGCCCCGGCTAAACATCAGCCCTTTAGGGCCCCGACTGTGGTGGTCTATTGGCTCTTTGAGGCGCGCGCGGAACGCTACGCGCCGTACGCTCGGGTCCAGTTCTGGTCGGGCGGCGAGCTACCCTTACTCGCTGTCCGCAGACCCGCGCTTACGGTGGCCGGAGATCATCCCTCGATCCCCGACGTCCGGAATGTCGCCTTCTGCGGCGGCTGGGGCGCGAGGAAGATAGTTCCCTCACGCGCTCCGCCTCCTCCTTTGCGAGCATAACTGCTTCGCAGAAGGAGGAGATAGCTTCCCAGTTCCTCTCACGCTGCACCATGGCCTCGATTAAGGCCGGGCGCGAGAGGTCGCTGCCGCCGATCACTTCCCTGAGAACACGGCGGTGCTCAGCCCAAGCAGGGCACTCCGCCACCGTGTGCTCCACCGTGTCCTCCAGGTGATCCTCACAATGACGACACTCGGGCGTTTCCTCCCGCTGGATCCGAAACAGGAACCTACCAAAGCTGCCGTGCCCGGTAAGCACCTGCGTCAGGCGGAAGGTGAGGACGCCGTGGCGTCTCTCAAGCCACTCCTCAAAGAGGGGTCTTACCGCTGCTATAGTAGCGTGCCCGGCCCTCGGTTGCGACAGTCGCTGCTTCCACTCAGCCATGAGATCTCGCCGGAGCTCATTCCGCCACGCACTAATTTGGCGCGGCAGAGGATCCTCGCCCCGGCGACGCGCGTCTGCTCGCAAACTGTAGACGCGCGCGAGCGCCTTCGCTTCCAGATCCCATGGCGGTGATCCGGCAAGGAGGTTCGCCGCCTCCCCGGAGATCGTGCGATATCCGCGGATTATTCGGATAGCCATGACCCACAAACTGCCCTGTACTTGCATATGCAGCATTGGCTGATTGTAATCCATCTAGGATCAATTCAAACCTTCTCTTTCGACCTTTTTCTTGTTTCATTATTTTCTTCAAAGCCCGTCAACCTAGTAGGTAGACAAATTATTTAAATGTTACCATCAAATCTCTCCACACGAGGAATAAACAATCGTCACGATTCACAAAATAATTCATCTTAATCAGGCCAGCTGTTTAATAGATCAGTGCCACACGCACATACAAAGTAATCACAAATTTATGTATTTTATAACACTGCACTGCGTAAAATAAATAATAAAACATGTTATAACAACAATTTGCTTTTTCTCGTAATTTGGTGTCGCCCTGACGGTCTGATAAAAATTGATAAAAGCTTCATGTCTGGTGTTTTAAGTACCTAATTTGCTAAATATAGCAACGAAGATAATTGTAATCGTATACGTTGAGACGCATCTTACAATATAAATCGTATCTCATTATTTCCTGCGAGCTCTGTTCTTAAAAGTGTTAGCTTAATTTGAAATAGTAGTACAAGAAAGATTTAAGTCGCATTTTGAGAATGATTCTTCTGTCAATAATCGTGTTTTAAACAAGTCCAGACAATTTATTGCTGAGAAATCTGAAAAAATCATAATAAATCATGTCCTTAATAGCAGAATCCATATTTCTAATACAAATCCGTCATTGGTTTCAATCGTAGCCACAGGTATCAAAGAAAGAGAATCGCTTGATGATAATGACAACGCTGATCCTAAAATAGACAAAGTTCATAAATCCTATTCAGATAGTCATGTAATAAAATGCCAAACATAATATTCTACAACATTCTGTATGTTATGTAGTTACCATACATAATACACGACGCCATTACATAACAAACTTGGCAAGGTCTTCCTCGGTAATTAGTAAATCTATGTATAATTCCTACCTGAGTGAATATAGGTCAACTATTACATGAATCATTTGTTTGGACGCTTGAAGTGTTTCTCTCGAAATTGTGAATGGTCGACTGTCTCGTGGAAGTAAGGAAGATGAATATGGTCAAAAAGATGAGTTCTCTCAATTATCCCAGTAAACTGTCTTTGGTGAAGTATAATAGAATATATTTGCAACTAAATTGCACTGGATAACTGTAGTATCGGCGGTATTTTTGAACCGAAAAACTAAACATTAGAAGGAGAGCGTACTCTTAAAAGGCAATGAAATATTCTGTCGCTCTCTGATAAACCTAAACAGAGAGTAGCAAATAATCTAGACTCTATAGTTAATTATTTTAAAGCTTTGTTCAATTGTCTGAACTCTCTTATCTTCGGAATTACTGGCTGGAATCGAATAATTGAATATTAACAATACCATTTAACGAGAAATATATATAAGAAGAAAGAGTGCGGAAGTAGCTAGTCTAAAAACAACGGAAGATACCTTATACATCTGGGTAATGGTGTTTTTATGTTATCCAAAAATACAGTAGTACAATTAGAAATCGTTTTAAATTAAAAACTTGGTCACGATATTTCAATTTGAACATTATTGTTGCAAATACAAGTAAAAAAGGTGATAACTTCTTCCATGTTTGTCTTTCAAATAAACTATTTACTCAAGACGCCAGTAGCCATCTTTGAAATGAAACCAGTTAAAATTGGTATGATTTAAAACGTGCTACAGGATGAGCTGTGGACGGTAACTAATTCACGGTCGTTTCAAACATTTATGACGTCTGAAACGTCTTTGTTTACATGAGATTTTTAATAAACGGCTTCTTACCTCTTCTCATTTAAAGTAGTGTTTTAGGGAATTACAAAATGGAGCAATAATTGCCTATAATAAGAATGCTGACAGTAAAAACACGTATTACTTTCTGTGTTCTTTTGGAACTAAGAAAAAAGAAGTTTTTTCACTCCTTACTACTCTACTCATTTAGTCTGACTATTTCCTTTTTCCTAATATTTGTAATAAAACATTCCTAAATTGGTAGTCGTCTTAAACGTATTACGATGTTTACAACGCCTAACACTTCAAAGCGCCATTTGGCACGTCCACAAGTCTCCAAGAGTATTAATAGTTGCCGGATCATATGACCCGGGCTTACAGTGCGTCCAAGTATTTATTGTGTGCTGGCTTCTGGACGTTTAGTTGTATAATTAATTTAACTAATGTTTCACCTCTGTACTATGATAGGTCGAAGCGTAATTAGGATTTTCTTGGACACGGAATCACCAAAATCCTCCTTTTCCCCTTATTCTTAAGTTACTGAAGTCGTCGTTGAAGTTGAAGACGTCGTAAATGGTCTCATACTGCCAATACCTGAACAGAAGATCAATTTGCGCTTATTCGGCGTCGTAACTTCGCGTTCTATAGATAACACCTATAAAACTATAGTTGTATCTCTCAATCTATTGATAACTAAATAGGTTGCAAAAGATTACGTTACTAGGTTAATTCAGGTATTATTTTGCACATCTATAAAACACCAAATTATAATCCCAAAAAATATGTCAAAAAGAAAGGTAAAGCTTGGTTTGTCTAATCAATTTAGGGCTCTCTTTAAAGACCCAAACGATTTATTGTATTGATTTTAACCACAGTGATTTAAATGTGGTCTGTTAACAATAGCCCATTTGCTTTATGGCTTAATGAAATGGGCTTATTTCATTTTCATATTGAATGTCCGAATATCTAAACACGACAACTTATTTTTTTGAAAATACAAACTAACAATAGTTCATTGTCTGTGAAATTCATAATAAAGACAATACAAAGATACGTCAGAGTCTAGGGATGGTTGGCGCGTGCGTACTTACGTTCCGCACAGCTGACCTTTGTGGAGGACGTCTTCCGAAGGTTATTGTCAAGGATGCTCGACGCCCGTGTCGAGAAATGTGATGTTTTTGCAAGATTTTCAATGTCAATCGTATTAAGATTTTGCAAACGAAATAGCAAATAGTAAAACTCCCTCTTAAAAGTATTTATGGGGTCACAAAAATACCTAATTAACAATGTGTTTCTCTTTGTTTTCAGCCTGCGAACCGTGAGAAGATGATGTCAAGGTCTGCGTTACTTCTCGCTGCCCTCGGCCTAGGCTTATCCACATTCAGCGTCCGTCAGATGATCCTCCACCAAACCAGACGATTTTAGACACCAAACTCAACACCCAGAACAACTAACTAGCCTAATGCCAGAACTCAAGACATCGTAGATTAAAATTAAGTCTGCCGTGTCAAAACCATACGTATTTTCTTACTTAAATAGACAACTATATTTTTATAGTTTTGAAAATGCGTGCGGATATTCCAATTTTGAGTTCTGGTTTAAAAAAAATTGTATAAACATTGACGCATGGGGGAGAAAAAAATTGTAATTTATTCATTTTTTTTCTGATTTGTGTTTTGCTGCGAAAGATTGTTAGTACATTTTAGATTAGGGAGTAAGTTTATTCGGAACGGTTCAGTCGTGAGTTAGTATGGATGTGTGGAATGTTTTTCGCGAATGTCTATGTGATGGAAACCAAATAAAAATAGACGCTAACTATATTTTTTGGCATTTTTATTTCTAGTTTTGACTCTAAATTATTTGTAAGCAGTGGTTTTAATAATGATAAAACTGGCGTATTTGATGATTAGGGTAACGGCCATTTTCAAATAATTAGCTGTAGGTTGCTTATTGATGATAGATATTTGACTTTAACCCCATAAAAATGTGTCAAAATTCTATATCGAGTAACCAAACCTACCAATTAATTGTTAATTAGTTAATAATGGGTGTTAATGGCAAAGCTATAACCATTAGGTAGTTGGTTGTTAGCAAATTTAGGCAGAAGACCTCAATAAGTGGAGAAAGAAAGATTTATTTATATTTTTTGTCAAATTCTTTCCTCTATTGCCTTTTTGGCTTGAGGCCCATGTCAATTTTGCGTCTTGCCACCCTATTACATGTCATTTAACAAAAATGGGGTAAAAATTAAAAATAATTTGTCTAAATTGCTATGTTTTAATTTTTTATTTATAAATTCAATTATTTTTATGAAAATGTTAATAGGTTTCAATTAAAACATAAACTCCGATTAAATAAATTATTTTTAATTTTGTCTTTTTTTTTTTTGTTATACGCCTAGTTTTGTCGTTTTAACTCTACTGCTTATAAATAAATAAGGTTTGATGCGTGTAGGTCGTGGCAAACATATCTAAATGTATCTGTATATAGATGTTCGTCTAACAACTGCGTTTATTTAAATGCATGAAATAAAAACAGTACTTATTAAATTCAAAATTATTTGTTTTATTCCAATTTTCTGAAACTGATTTTATTACCCTTTTTAAGATTTAAAATAGCATCCTAGTCAATGTTTTCCAAAAAGAGAGTTCACAGTATATACTATCACGCAGGGAAAGGGTTGCTTGGTTTTTTGGAAAAGAAGGATATATTTTCACACACTACCTCAAAGATCCTCATCCATAAACCCCTAGTAACACACAAAAGGCTAAGGTTGCAACGCATTTGTAATACCTAACTAATTTTGCGTTATGAGCCTTCATGGGCGGCATTGATTGCTTACTATCAGGTAATCCGACTAATCATTTGCCGACCCGACATGAACAATGTGCACATTGCAGTCAGTCATTTGCCGGTGTCAATAAAAGAAGAAAAAATTTATTAAGTCTTATAAGGAATTATAAGAATTCCACATTGTGCCCAAACTATTCGAGCTTACTATATTAGATACAGGCTTGCAGAAAAATGTTTTCTTTGTCCGGATTTTTCAGGGCATAGGTATCCTGAATGCGTGAAGAATGATAAGCCGGTGTTGCATCTTTTACAAAGAATCAAATAATATGTACTTATGTCTACATGCGATGGAGTGTAATTTACATCAAAGACCCTGTTTTATGGTTTTATGTTAATAAAGAGATTATTTATTCTCCGTACGTAAGTACCTACAAAAGACATCTGTCTAATAATAAATTATTCAAATTCAAATAATAGGATTTTGAAGATAAAAATCTTCGTTAAAATTCATATGTGTACGTTTAGAATCTTTAATAAATCACATGTTTACCTCAAAACGATATTCTCAGACATTATGTAAAGGTAAATACAAACTAAATCTATAGGTAGGTAAACAGTTTTTGCACCGACATTCAGTCCAATGACTGCAAAGGCAACTGCCGAGCAAGGAGTTGTGAGTTCGATCTCCGGTTTGGTAGCTAGGCAGCATAAAGTATTTTACTTTTAAGAAAAAAAAATTTTAGCATTAGACCCATAAACTGAACTACGTGTGAAGATGGACATCTTCAACTATGGACTCTTTTACATTCAAAAGACACTAGTGGGGATTGAATATATGCTCGTTCCTTCTCCTGCTCCAAACCGAGGCCGCGGTATCTCATTGGGCTTACCCCGCAATCCTGGCCGAAGCAGGCCAGTGCAGTTACTCAAGGGTCGTTGATCCTACCGGTCCGGTGGGATAAGGGAAATCCATAGTTCTCCAAAATTGTTAAGCGTTAATTTTGTTTTAAGTGTTATGATTTGAATCTGCTGATTTGCATGATAAGGTTAGTCGACTAATGGGGTAGAAACTGACTCCTTCGAAACCCTCCCACTGTTGTAAACCACTAGGAATTCGGCAGACATTTTTAAATACTCTTTCTTTAGCAAAAAAATTACCAATGCAGGAAACTGACGGAATTTTGCTAGGTACTTACACTTTTCTCATTATTTGAGATCCCTCTTTTAACGCGTGGATTTATTCAACAGATGTTATTCAACGGATGTTTTTCATGCATTTGGAATGTAATTTCATATCTATTATATAGATATATAATACTAGGTACGGGAGTAACAATTAAGGTGGTGAAAATCAGACGCGCTCGAGTCACTACCGAGATCCTTTCATGGATTTTCCTACTATCTGGTGTTAGGTACGAACGTACCTAGCGATGGATGGCGCAAATAGCTAGCGATCAGCTGATTTTCGACCTGTACCATAAAAATACTTAGCTTCAGCTTTTTATCACTGCAGCACTGCAGTAAAAAACAGTTTATAAATACGACAATGACGCGTATAAACAACGCACGGCAGATAATATTACGTAATTTGGCATGAGATGAGCACGTCACTGTCACGTACTGTAAGTAGGTACAAAGATACAGGTGTCACACGCTCTATAGGTCAAGAATCACGTACCAATGTGATGAACTAACTAGTTAAAATATGCTTTAATCCATCAAACTCCTAACGAACGCCGGAGTACGCTGCGCGCGACTATGATTCTCCTATTATGTCTCGGATTACCAAGATTGAAAGGTTAATTGTGGGAAACCCATACTTCGGCACGCTCGAGACGGCCCATTCGAGCCTAAGTATGGTTCACTTCAGGGGCCGACTCGATGGCGTTGAATCCCACTAGATTGGCCTCGCCCCACTTGGAGACTGCCTGCAAATGAAAATAAAAATCTTAAACATGGTAAATACAAAAGATAGTAAAACAAAATAAGTCACTTAGGACATCGGGGGCGGCAATCTTTCGCGCCCGGCCTTAGTCGACGCCATGGTCCGTAGCGAGAGGAACTGGGAAGCCGTCTCCTCTTTCTACAAAGCAGTGATGTTTGCAAAGGAGGAGGCGGAGCGCGTGAGGGAACAATCCTCCCTGCGCCCCAGCCGCCGCAGTAGGCGACATTCCAGGCGTCGGGGATCGAGAAATGGTCTCCGGCCACCGTTAGGGCAGGCCTGCGGACGGCGAGTAAGGGTAGCTCGCCGCCCGACGAGTCTGACACTCTCTCGCCTTACCCTGGGCGGGAGAAGTCATTGAAATTGAGAATAATTAAAAATGCGGGATGCAAATTCGCATGATTGAAAGTTGATCTTCCCCTGACAATAAAAAAAACATATCCCTTTTCAGTAGGCATGCAAAAATTATAATATAAATAATTTTTAAACTTATAACCTAAAACTAAGTAGGTAATTAAGTACCTATCTAACAAATCTATTTTCTACAATTAACATACTTTTCTACTGTGTAGAAGCACTTTTCTATAAGCCAAATTTTAAAATTTTGCGTTAGTTAGCTCTCTAATCTCTCTCGGAATTTTGTACCTAATATAATTATGTTAATTTACATTTTGGTAATTTATGATTGGTAAAATTATTATGTGAGACATTAGTACCTACAGTCAACCATAGCCTCTCCCTCGGACTGAATTCATTCCTTACTGGTTCGAGCAGTCGGGAGGTATCTCTCTACAACTGGCCTGTCATCTGCATTCCCTTAGATATCGGGTAACAGCAGATCGCTGATATGCTGCAGAAACAGAATAACTGTTGTCGTTACCAACCTATGCTTTAACAGACAATACGCCTATTCGTATAGAAATAGGATGTAGGTACCTAATACCTACTTTCACATGACATGAGAGCTTTGTCCAAACTGAATTCAGATCCTTCAATCCACTACGCCGAGCAACTCGTTTGGAATAGGCAGCTGTAAAAATATTTGGTATGCGGGTGTCCATGAGCGGCACCGATTGCTTACGTTTTTATTTTTGGTAGATATCGCATTAGGAAATCCTCACAGGGACCCACCACCCTCGGGGAAGGGCGAAGGGTAGGTACTGCCAGACTTACAAACTAAAAACTAACCCCATCAAGCAAGTATCGCCGAAGCATTCGTCGCAACTCCCCGACAGGTATTGGCCCGCTAGATAGTCAGGCGGGCCTCGTCACCCACTGCAGCCGTCACCCTCGACTAAGTCGAGCAGGGCACGCGAGGAGCTTTACGTACTGGCCCCAGGGCGAAGATCGTTCCCAGGGCAGGGATCACCGATTGCTTACCATCAGATAATCCGTCTTATTATTCCCCCAACCTACTAATATTCTTATTATTTTTAATTAATGTGAAAGTTTGTGTGATTTTATTTGTTATTCTTTCACACAAGAACTGCTGGACAGATTAAGTTAAGGTATGTAGATAGGTAACACTATGGATTAACACAGGATTTTTATCAACATACAACAAGTAACAAATAAAACCACAATATTAAATTACCAACATATTTTAATCAAACTTAAAAACAAAAATTATGCATTTATAAACATTAATTTACTAACTAACAAAATTAAGACTAAACAATCAACAAAAAAT